ATGGAAGATGCACCTGGAGCGGCGAAAGGAAGGAGCGCTGTGAGCAGGAGGAACCCGCGGGCTCTGCTGGCCCCAAGCCCCGCGCATGGGGTTAGGAGCGGGCGCTTGGTTTCGCTGCTGTCATCCTGACTCCCTGGGTCGTCCTGGGTGGTTTTCCTGCCTGAATCGCTCGTCAGGCTCTGTTTGGATAGCTGGGTGAAGTCTTGATGAAGTTTCTCAAAGTGTTGTCAGAGCTGTGGGGGAATCCGAGGGTTGTTTTACACACTTGGTTGTGGATCCAGCCTGGGGTGACTGGCAATAGCCAGGCAGCAGAAAGCAGGAGCGTGTGTGCTACCCGGGTTAAAGTTTATTAATGAAGGCAATTCATAAAGGTCACACATAGGTTTGGAGGCTTCTCCTGCAGTCACAGGCAGATTTGACAGATAGAAAAGTCATGCAAAGAGAGGGAAACTTGGCAAAACACTTTGGCATTGAATAAGTGTGTTACTATACAGTCATTTGTTGCCACATCCTAATTCCCTTATGCCATTTTCTTACATCTCTTCCTATGCCTTTACAGTTGCGTATTCTTTCTGGAATTTTCTTTTTCAGCAGTAAATTTGGTGCTAGAAATCATTTTCCTGCACTTCCCTTATGCAAACCTAATGCACGAGCACAGTGGGTTCAAGTCCTTTAGAAGGACTTTGAAAGGAAGTTTAAAATACGTTTTTTCTTCTGTTCTAGGATGTGTTTACCAAAACAGCCATAAAAGTGCAGGGCAATCTTTAGGGCATACAAATCCTTGTGCACTTAAGCTGTAGAACATATTATCTGAAAAGTGCAGTGATTCTAGGAAATGTTTTCGTATCTCTGGAAATCTTAAAGGCAGTGAGAGAAATAAAGGCAGTGATAGAGATTTTATCTGTCATTTGGTATAACTAGATGCCAAGTTGATCACAGTACAGAGACTAGGGAACTTTAGGGCAAACCATCAGGTGGTTTAATAGATTTTGAAACAAACTTTTAAATATACTTCATTTATCTTGTATTTGTGCCGTGTAAAGGGTTTGGTAGGTCAGATTGATGGTTTAGTATCTAAAACCAGCACTTTTTCCAGGGTTAAATTTGTACTGTGGATATTGTACTGTTGATTCTGGTCATGTTCTTTAGATAGCAAATACCTGACTGTTGATACTAGTCTCCTATCAGTAAATGAAGTGGTTTGAGTCAAGTTTTGAGAGGCTTTTGGAGACTTCCCCTATGAGGTGGATGTTCCTGCCAAGCTTTGTGCGGGCTAACTGCATTGTCCATGCAGATTTTCAGCCTGGTGAAACAGGAGATGCTGAGAAACTCTAATCACAGTGCTCTTCCTTGTCCTTCCAGGTGTGAGAGTCCTGGTGGATGCCAGGGAGAAACTCCATATCCCCTGGGGAGATACTGCCAACCAGAGCAACGGGGACAAGGTGATGGCGTTCGACACCCGCGCGGTCACCGTGGCCCAGGGCATGGTGGAGACCAACGTGTTCCTGGACTACCTGCCAGCCATCAGGGCCCTGTGGGCAGACAGTGGCATCCAGCACGCCTACGACAGGCGCAGAGAGTTCCAGCTGGTAAGGTTTGGGTCTCGGTGGCTTTAATGGAGTGTGTGTGGTCTTGTTCTTGGGTTGTTTTCCTGTAAAACACTGATCCTCCGTGAGGATCTTGTGAGGGTGGTGAGACATCGGCACAGGTTGCCCAGGGAGGCTGTGGCTGCCCCAACCCTGGCAGTGTTTCATTCCAGGTTGGATAAAGCCTTGAACAACCTGCTCTGGTGGGAGGTGTCCCTGCCCAGGGCAGGGGTTGGCACTGGATGATCTCTAAGCTCCATCCCAACCCCTTAGCAATCTATGGATCTTTGGGTGGTTGCTTGTTAAGCTGTGGTGTTGCACACAGATGCATTTAGGGTTTTTTTTTAAACAGTAATAATGCAAAAATTCTGACATAATTGTCCTCATTTCATATGTGAGAAAGTTGAGGTATTGAGAGCTTTTATGTTCTGTAACAAAGCTGTTTTTACCATGTAATTATTACCACTCTTTGTTAACTAGTGCATCCACTTAAAAAACCTAACCAACCCCCAAAAGATGGTTTGCAATAAAGAAGGATTTCATAGGAGTGTGATTTTTAAGAGAAGAGATGCATGGGTTAATGAGAAGAATTTAAAAACCACTCCCTTCTCTATTCCAGTTTGAGCAATCTAGCAAACATTCCCTCTGTATACTTCCTGTTTAATTTTGAATGTCTGTGTTAATACTCTTGTAATGAGATTTTTGTTACATTCAAGTTCTCAGCTGAAGATGGAATATACAATTTAATAGCAGGGTTGGGATGGAGTATACAATTCAGTAGTGGGGTTGGAAGGGAACGAGAAACCTCTTGAGCTGCAGTTTGACTGCCTGTGACAGCTCTGTTTCCATGCAGATGCTGCAAAAGGAAATGGAGAAATCAAGTTAAATTTGTTGTTTGTTGGGTCATAGACTTGTGATACCAGTGGCATAGGGTTTTGTGGGGTGGGGGTTGAGGATCTGAAAATAGGTTCAATCTGGTCTTGTAGGTCTCTCAAACCTAAGTGGCTTTGTGTTTTTTTATGTCTTTAAAAATAACCTTTGTGTTGGTGTGAATCTGAACAATAGCTGGTGGTGTCTCCTGTTGAGCTGTTCTCAATGGTTGTGTAATCATACTCTGACTTAAAGAGGCTGTGTAAATACTCTATAAATATGTATTGCCCTGATCATGGAATGTTTTCTGGAGGTTGCAGAATGGGCAGGTGCTGCAGGAGCCTATCCCCTGCCCAGCCTGGTGCTGAGCTCTGTAAATAAGTTTCTAAGGACACCTGTTGCTCTTTGGATTTTACCTTCAAGTGATCATAAAAGGATAATTGCTCTGCTGCAGTCCAGATCCAGTTCTGGTGCAGATGTGACTTCTAGTGGGGTAATTGCTGTGCTGGAGGGATCTGTGCTGAAATCTGTTGCATAGAACAGTTTTGTCATTGATGAAATGTGTTTAGTGGCTCAAGGCTGAGTAGCAAAGGAAAAAGGAGCTATTGCTCTTCTGTCATCTCGAGTCTCTTGATAAGTAGGTTCTTTCCATAGCTGAAGCATGTGCAGAGTTTCACTTTGAGTAGGGTGTGAAGAACGTGTTCTTCTGAACCTGACAGAAAAAAGCTCTTGCTTTCTTCTGGGAATCCTTAAATCTCTGTCATTCTCTGTGAAAACGCATATGGATCGTTGTGCTTTAGAAGGAGCTCAATAGTTTTTAAGTGCTCTTACGTATGGATTGTTGTGCTTTAGGAGGAGCTCAATAGTTTTTAAGTGCTCTTAATAGCTGAGTACTGAACCCATAACTTTTGAAAGCAAGGTAACTGCTTTATTTATACTTACATTGCTTTATTTCCTAAATCCTTTCAAAATCTCAGCTGGACATATTTATGCCAAGTTATAAACACGAAAAAAAAAGCACACCAAAAAAAGCAGCTGAATGATGTCATTGTGTGGAGTGCAGGCAATGGGATCTGTTCTGGCCAAGCATGAAGTCTCAGTTTTACCCCACTAAGCTTCAGCTTAGGTTGTGCCAGAGCTCCACGTGGGCGGCAGAAGGGCAGGAAGGCCCTGGAAGCAGTGTGGATTTCAGCTGTACCTGCTGGCAGGCTCGGAGAGAGAGCATTCAGGGGGTTTAGGCGTGTGCTGCAATAAGGAAGAAGGACACAAATGGTTAAGGAGGGAGGGACAGGCATAGCCGAGTCAGGAGGTAGAGCAGAGGGGGAAGTTGGGAGAGGCACAGACAGCTCGGTCCTGTCTCTGACTCTTGAAGTATTCAAGACCGAAAATTAACACTGTAAAATGGGGAATAAGAGAAAAATACTGTTCTGCTTCCAGTTCAACTGCTTGTGGCAAAAAAAAATGGAATGAAAGGAGAGATACCAGCAAGCATTAGATGAGTAGGAGGGAGGGGAAGGTGGCATGAAAGCACTGGAGTGCTGAGACTGAGAACTTAGAGTATTCCTGGACTGATGTACTCTCACTTCTTTTTAGACTGTGGAGTGAGTTTAATTTTTTTAACTGATCCCAGTTTGACACTGCACTGAAAGACACGGCTCATAGTAAGAGAGCGCAGGCAGGAA